ACACACACACACACACACACACACACACACACACACACACACACGAGAAATCAGAACAGAAATATATTCACCAAGCAATGAAGAAATTTCATCTTGTCCAAATAATACAGCAAAGCCATGACCACTGAAGCAAAGTTTGTGATGGCAAATGGAGATATTTTAGTTGGGATTGAGGCAGGCTGGAGGAAATGTTAGAGCAATATTGCTTGCACTTTGGCGTTGTGGTGAAAGTGAAAATTAGCATTGAAATTGTGAGCTTAAGTCAATGCTTAGTTTTTACCGACAGCCAAAAAGCTACACTTTATAGAAATTCAGTCATTAAATTAAGAAAGTGGAAGAATCTTTAAAATATCACTTCATCTGTCCAAGACAGAACTATATTTAAAGCAGGATTCTTAGACAGATTGATCCTCCCCCCCCTTTTTTCTCACTGCCTTTCTTTGCATACTTAAAGAGCTATCAAAATGTCTTTTGGAAAATATTTCAATGTTGAACAACCCTTAGATTTCAGGCTTACATCATACTTTAATGAAATCTTCATGCTGCAGCTCAATTTCATTTTGAAGAATAGTTTATTATTCTTATCTATGCATTTGGCTAGATAGTATTAAACTTCTCTTTTTGTAAATCAAGAAAGGATAAATAATGGTAATTTTAGAAGGTTCAGTCCCTAGGTATTTAAAGGCTAAGACTGATCCATAGAATTTTAACAGATTATTTTCATAGGAGGGCATATGACACATGGAAAACCAATATTCTTTCTAGATGCTGGCAATTTTATGAAAACTATGTCATTTAGGATCTAATCGAGCATGCATTGTTCTGTCTTCTGTCATTGTGACCCTGATAGAAAAGTTAAACTGTTCAAGGTCCAAGGCTATCCATCTTGTGAGACAATGAATGATCTCTTCTCTGGCTGATGTTGAACCACTGAAAATTATTTTTAAGAATCAATCACATGTGCTTGAAGGAAGTGAATTCTTTTTAAACTAAGTTTTTAAGTTGATATTTTGAACTCATGTTCTTGTTGTTATTTGCTGTTGGGTCATTTGAGACTCACAGCGACCCTATATACAACAGACAGCTCTGAACCCTGCACTATCCTGAGCCAACCTTATTCTTACTCCATAACCTTAGTCACTGTGTCAATCCATTTCAATCAGAGTCTTCCTCTCCTGTCCTGTCCCTCAACCCTCCCAAGCATGATGCCCCTATCTAAGGACTGGTCCATCCTTGTAACATGCCCAAAGTATGTCAGATGGAGTGTCAGAATCTTTGCCTCCAAGGAGCAGCCTGGTTTCACCCTTTCTAGAATGAACCTATTCTCTCAGCAGTCCATGGTATATTCAATACTCTTCTCTAGCACCACAGCTCAAAGTCATCAATTCTCCTTTTACCATATCTGGTCATTGTCCAGCTTTCTTATACATAGCAAATAATTGTGAAAACCATGGCATGAATCAGGAACACTTTAGTCTCTAGACTGACATCATTAGCTCTCTAAGTACAGAGTGGCTAGATCAAGGACTGAACACTTTATTTCTGAAATGTGTATTATTATGGTAAAAACACTTGCTTAAAATGGTTCAAATTGAACCTAAACAGTTGTCTTTTTGTTTTATAAACCTTTAATTAATCATCTGCCCATTTTCTTTTTGCGTAGATTGTTTTGTTTTTCAATCTAGTCAATTTTCTCATTGTTATTTGGCAGTACATATTTTAAAACTACATCTGGAAATTAATTTAGATAACAACATTTTTCTATGAAAGTGTTAATCTAGGCTTGAAGATTTATTGATGTTGTTGTTGTCTACCTCCAGGCTGGAAATGACCCATAGTTGACTGACCTTCCAGCAGGCTTTCAAAGGTAGTTAATTACATGGGTGGAGATTGTCTTTCTCCCCCTGAAGAGAAGATTTCTTAGTGTAGGGTTTACATTCTCTTATAATGTACTATATTTCTGCTCTATCTAGTTACAAAGGGAAAGATCAAAATTCCTTTTGAACTTTGTCTACTTTTTCTTTTTTTTGATAGAGACTGATAATATTTTATTTTGCTATTTTATATTTCTAATGATTTGCCTCTTGAATTTATCAAGTCTTATTTTCTGTCTTCTATGTCTCTATGTTTTACTTCATTTGGGCTTTAAGTAATTGTTCTTTTTCTAACTTACTGAGTTGTTTCCCTAAATTTTTTGTTTTGATGCTTGTTTAATAATATAATCACCTCCTTTTCTATGAGGACAATTATGACTATAATTTTCAGGTTTTGATATGTTTTATCATTCTTATTTTCTATACATTCTGAAGTCTTGTTTTTATATTCAATTGAAATAAGAACATTTTAAAAGGTAATAAATAGTTCATAGTCTAGTAGTTGTATATTTGTTGATATCCAATTTTGGAGAAGAGTAGTGAATGTTCCATGCATTGCCAAAAGGACAAACTACTCTGTGTGAAAATGCAATCAGGTTGCTCCTTAGGAGGTAATGCTGGTGAAATGTATTGTGTATGTTGTTCTGAGGAAAAAGACATCATTCTGGGAAAGTAGAGGGCCAGAGGAAAAAAAAAGAAAACCCTCAAGGAAAAGGATTGACGCTGACTGTCACCATTGTGACAATCTCTGTCCTGAGTATCAGAGCTGATGAGGATGGCATAGGATAGAGCAAGGTTCACTGGCTTGTTATGAGTCACAGTTGACTGGATGACACTTAACAGCAACAATAACAAATTTTACCTGGTGGGTCTCCAATTAAAATTCATGTAGAGTGAGAATAATTACTTATAAGGAAGGACAACTATGGTTTATTAGGTTAGGATAAGGAGGGAGTGTAAGAACATATACCCAATCTTTTTCAGCCTGATTATCAAAGAAGTAAGATAAAGTTTAGGGACAGAGTTTGAGCTACTAGAGAATCATTAATGTAGCTGAGTTTGTGGAAGAATTTAGTTGTTCACTTTCATATGGATACGTTAGTAATTTCCATAACAGAAGTGAAAACATTTTATATCAAATACATCTATGTATTATTTCCATAAAAAGGAAAGTTCAACTTATACATATTAGCATTAATATTGTGACATTAAGAAGAATATCTTTATAAAGTTTAAAGCAATATTACAGCATAGTAACATGCAAAGCTAAAGCTTTCTGCATTAGGTAATCAAGCATAAAAATTTATATACATACTGATTTCTGCAGATAATTTCATATGGAAGTAAAATGAAAAAGAAATTAGAAAATTAATGAGGGAATATTGTTATAGATATTTTTATTAACTTGCACCTCTCAAAATATTACTTTTCCCCAATAGGTCCTCTCTCAATTGCTCTCCTTTTTAAAACAAAAAATACTATGATATAAATTTGTACAAAAATTGCTTTATTAAATTATTTTTAAAGAAGCTTTATTATAACAAGACATGAAATAGATGGAATTGAATTAAATGCTGTAAAAACACGGTAAAGACGAAGATATTATGAAAGGCTACTTTCAGATATCTTAGAGTATAAAATAAGGAAAGGAATTTTGATAATTACTATAAAAACATTCTATTTTTGGCAGGGTTGGAGGGGGAAATATGGTTTGGGGTGTATCAAAAAGACCATTTCTAAGAAATACTTAACTTGGAGGAAGAAACAAAAAACTTACTTATATGGAAAGAAGAATCCAAATATTTCTTTCTCTATTCCTTGACAAAATGTCAAGCAATGAAATCTTCTAATGGCTTATTCTAAAATCTTGTACTGCTCCTGTTTCTAATACTCTTAGCATCTGATTTGAGTCTTTGTTTTTGTTATTATTTGCTGGCAAGTTGGAATTGACTCATTGCTGACCTCCAGCAGGTTTTCAGAGGCTGTAATTCATGTGGGAGATTGACCCTCTTTCTTTTGTGGAGTTGTTGGTGGATTCAAACCTCATGCCTTTGGGTTGGGAGTGCAATTCCTTACTACTATCCCACTAGGCCACCAGAGTCCCATACTAATTGGTAGACTTTCCTAATTTGATGTCAGTCTACGGTACTGAAATTAGACTCTGTTCCCTAGTCAAACAGCATTGGATTAACAGTTTATAATATCAATTGTACTGACATTTTTTGCTTATTGCCCTGTCCAAATAAGATTATAATGTAGAATTTCATATACATACAGATGGCTATTCTTTTGAGAATGACAACTATGAACAGCTGAGTGCCTCCTTTAGTGGAATAATGTATCAAGGTAACATTTTATTATTTGTGAGGATTGAAAAATATATTTCAAGGTCTTTGTGCTTATCTACTACATTTAACTAATTATTTAAATTATCATCATATTAAAGTTTCCTACATTTTTCTCAGTATTTCTTTTGAAAAATATTTATCAAATCACCATGAATTTATGCAGTACAATGTAAGGTAAATACTCTTATTATAAACTAGATAAGTGTGCCATTTTTATGTCCTAGAGGCTAAGCAATATAAGCCATTGTAATGAAATATTAAGCTTCAAAATATTGGATTACAATTCAATACAATACAAATATTGTATTACATTTCAAGTTGTCATCTATTTAAATAAGTCATCGTGACACTCGTTAAGCTTTAATCTGTTAACCAAAAGGTCAGAGATTCAAGCCGACCAGGTTCTCAAGGTAAAGAAGGCCTGGTATCCATGTCAGTAAAGATTACAGCCTGAAAAGCCCTATTGGGCAGTCCCACTCTCTTGTCTAGCATGTTTACGAGTTGCAATCAACTTAATGCTCGACAAGAACAATGTGATTTTTAATATCTTGTTCCAAGAGACATGCTCATGTGTATTGTCCTTAACTTGTATATGCCATGAAACTTCATGGACTTTCGAAGATACCATTTCACAAAGTTAAATTTTATAGTCAAGAGTTCAAAAGTGCTTGATATCTCTATGCCCAAATACAGGCTTACGGAGTCTTCTTTTTTCCATGGAGATGAACAACGTAGATGTGGAAAATGCACTGGTGTACCCTGGGAGAGAGGGCTGCAGTGTCGAATCTGCAGGCCTCTCAATTTCTGAGCTCAGACCATGAAACAGGGAAGGCAGACAATACCAGTTCAAACAAGGCTCTTCTCCAGCACTCTCATTTACGAAGCTGGAATACTTTTTTTAGTTTGAAGAAATAAATGACATAATCAAAGTGAAAAAGGAACACTTACTGTTTTTGGCAGGATCCTTTACCACAGCATTTGTTTTGGCTACGCTGTCTGCTAGTTTATCGTAATTTTTCTTCAGGCTATCAAGGTCCTGGTGGAAGTCTTTAATCTGTGCCAGTACGTCTTTTGCTGTGTCGTTGGCTTGTCTTGCTTTGTCCTTAACGACTTGCAGTTTCACAGCTGTATCTGTCAGAAGACCAGCATATGAAAAACAAAACAAAGGGTCTGAGGTGGGTGGCTTACTCCATGCTTGTTAAATTAAGGTCACAGCTAGAAGATCTCAGGACACATTTACAAAGGGTCAAGGCTGAACCCTCACATTCAGTTAAAGGGAACGAAGGAAATTGATAGCTAAATTTAATTTTCCCAAGGATTTTTGCAATGCATACTGGGCTAGTGTTTAAAATATCAAAATGGTTATTCCAAATGTTCATTGTATAACAGAGTATGTTGTGATTTGTAGTTGAGTATATTAAAGAGAGACACTTCTCCACATATGTTATAGAAAAATCAAATCCATTGCTATCATGCTAATTCCAGCTCCTGGAAACTGCAAAGTGGAATTTCCGCAGAGGGTCCCCTAAACTGGAGCTTCTGTGGAGAGGTGCTGGTGGCTAGTCTGCAGTCTGTGGTGCCGCTAAACTAATGTCCACACATATCTGGTTTGGCTCCACCAGCCTGGGGGAAAGATGGAGAATCTTCTCCCACTAAGATAGATGTAAACCCTTGGAAGACCCAATGAGCGCCGCTAGGAGTCAGAATGAATCTGACGGCAGTGAGTTTTGAGAGCCTTTATGGAAGCAGAATGTCACATCTTTCTTCCACACAGTGGCTTGTAGGTTCCAACCACTGATATTTTTGTTAGCCATTGTGCCACTACGGCTATTTATGAGCCAAACAGCTCCCTCAAAATCTGTACTTTTTGAGGGTGGTGGAGTTCTTAAAGTTTAGGATAAAGTGACTCTGCTGAGTGTGTGCTACAGCATGTGATTGCATTTCACATCCATTTTCAGCACTGGTGATTTTCTAGGTAGTTCATTAATGACCCACTGAACTGGTGACATCGATAGTCAGATGCTAGTCAGGTTTTCTTAAGATTAAAAACTACATAAAACCCACTTAGATTTTAGAAGTTGCTGTATAAATATGTGTGTTAATTCACTTATCATGATATATAAATATAGGAAAAATGCTGAATATATGTGTCTATACTATGATATGAGTAAATATGGCCGAAAAAGAATTGATGCCTTGGGACTGTGGTGTTGAAGAAGACTACTAGAGATTCCACAGCCTGCTAAGGTACACACAGATGTGTCTCAGAGAAGGTATAGCCGAAATGATCTCTGGAGATAGAGATGATAAAGCTTGTCTCACTTGTTGTTGTTGTTATGTGCCGTCGAGTCACCTGCGAGTCATAGCGACCCTATGTACAACAGCTCTAAACTTCGCTCTGTCCTGTGCCAATCGCACTGTCTCTGACACTCCCATCCCAATTATCCCAGTCACTGAATCAATCCACCTCATAGAGGGCCTTCCTCTCCTGCGCTGTCCCTCCACCCTCCCAAGCATGATGTCCCTCTCCAAGGACCGGTCTTTCCTCACAACATGTCCAAAGTATGTTAGATGGAGCCTCAGAATCCTTGCCTCCAAGGAGCCACCTGGTTTAACCCTATCCAGGACAAATCTGTTTGTTTTCCTAGCAGTCCATGGTATTCTCAATACTCTTCTCCAGCACCACAGATCAAAGGCATCAATTCTCCTTCTATCCTCCTTGGTCATTGTCCAATTCTCTGATGCATAACAGGTGATTGCGAAGACCATGGCCTGTATCGGAAGCACCTTAGTCTCCAGAGAGACACCACTGCTCTTCAGCACTTTGGAGAGGTCCCTAACAGCAGACTTTCCCATTGCAATGCGCCTTTTAATTTCCTGGCTGCTGGTGCCAAGACTGTTGACTATGGAGCCAAGCAAACTAAAGCTGTGAACAATCTCAATCTCGTCACCATCCATCCTGATGCTGCCAATTGGTCCAGTGGTGAGAATCTTTGTCTTCTTGACATTGAGCCTCAATCCATATTGCAGGCTGCAGTCCTTGACACTCTGCAGCAGGCGCTTCAGGTCCTCCTCAGTTTCAGCAAGCAGGGTTGTGTCGTTCGCATAACGCAGATTTTTGATAAATCGTCCACCAATCTTGACTCCACATTTCGCCTAATAGAGTCCAGCCTCCCGGATAATCTTTTCTGTCTATAGGTTGAAAAGGTATGGAGATAGGATGCATCCCTGGCGTACGCCCTTCCCAATTTTGAACCATGCAGTGTTCCCTTGCTCTCTTCTGACGACTGCCTCCTGGTCCAAGTATGAGTTTCGTATTAGAACGATCAAGTGTTCTGGGATTCCCATTCTTCTCAGAGTCAGCCATAGTTTGTTATGATCTACACAGTCAAATGCCTTTGCATAGTCAATGAAACACAGATAGACAGTCCTCTGGTATTCCCTGCTTTCAGCCAAGATCCATCTAACATCAGCTACAATATCTCTAGTACCACAACCCCTTCTGAACCCAGCCTAGACTTCTGGTAGTTCTCTGTTGATGTGCTGTTCCAGTCGTTTTTGGATAATCTTCAGTAAAATCTTGCTTGCATGTGAAATCAGTGAGATTGTTCTGTAGTTTCTACATTCTGTTTGGTCACCTTTCTTTGGGATAGGAACAAATACCGCTCTCTTCCAGTCAGTTGGCCAAGTGGTCCTTCTCCAGATTTCTTGGCACAATTTGGTGAGCACGTCCATGGCAGCATCTGTTAACTGAAATGTGTCAATAGGTATACCATAGATGTCTCACTTACTTTGGTTATATTGCTTGAAGAGGAGCATCACGCTTGGAAGGGTGGAGGGGCACAAAGGAGAGAAAGATTCTCAACCAAGTGATTGACATAGCAACTTCAGCAATGGACTTGGGTGTGTCAACGATTGTAAAGATGGCACAGGACAGATAGGGTTCATATTTGTTGTTCATAGGGTTATTATGTCATTATTCTGTGCTATCGAGTTGCCAGCATCTCATAGTGATCCTATGTACAATAGCTCTGAACCCTGCGCTTCCCTGAGCCAGTATCACTGATTCTCACACAGCTACTCCTATTTACCAAGTTACTGTATAAATCCATCTCATCCAGTCTCTTTTTCTTGTGAGCTGTCCCTCCACCCTTCCAAGCATGATGTGCTTCTCCAAGGACTGATCCTTCCTGGCCATGTGACCAAAACATGTGAGACAGAGCTTCAAACCTCAATTCAACGACATCTAAAAAAAAAAAACAACGACGATGTGTAGCTTGGTGATTAAGAGCTCTTTAGTCACACAGCTGAGTTCAAATATTACTTATGCCAAGTTTAACAATGGCATTTAATGTATTTCAGTTTCTTGCCTATAAAGTGGGAATAATAGTGCCATCTACTTTTGGACTGCAAGCTATTAATGCAGTCATATTGGGGAAGTACTTCATAAAAATTAGAAACTCTTGTTAGATACTAACTACATTTAATTTTACATTGTTGTTGTTGTTGATTGTCTTCAGTCAACAACAGCAGGACACATAGCGACCCCGTGACCAAAAGGCCTGAGGCCTTTCTACTACTATCGACATTTATCAAAGTTCATAGAGCTTCCAGAGGCATGTTGTCTAGAAGTGGATGCCAGTCCTGCCTCAGTTCCTAGTAAAATTTGAAAATATTAAAACTAAATGATCATATCAAGAATTTAGCAAAATTTCATACAGTAGTTAAAATTAGTGGAAAGACACCGTAGAACTGGTAAAACCACTAAAGTTTGTGAAAGTTGTAATTTTTCATGAGTTGAAGTTTTCCAGAAGAGTTATACTGAAAGTTTCCCTTTACCTATTGTTGCAGGGATCATGGAAAGTGGGGCTGTTTGTAGTATATTGACCTTCTTCAGAATAATGTCTGTCCAATTTAATTAGTATTTATTAATATTTCATGGGATGAAATGGGAAAAAACAATATCTTAATAAGATGGCTGAATATTCCTTAATAAAGGCTACTTCTATGGACACCTGTATTAATTGTTTTGATAAAAAGTACTACTCTCTTTGAGTAAAGAGAGAAACAGTATTGTCTCATGATTTTCAGACCAGAATTCTAACTTCAGGGTGTGTGAGCCACATTTTCGCTAAAGGCTTTAGGGGCAGATGCTTTCTTGTCTCTAGCTTCTGGTAGCCCAGGCATTCCTTAGATTGTAGTTGAAGTGGAATTCCAACTTTGTTTTACTCTTCACATGACCATCTTCTTTCTGGGTCTTTGTGCATATGTCTCTAAATTCTCTTTATACTGATGCAAATGATATTGTTTTAGGAACCACTTTATATCCACATAACTTCATGTTTACTGATCACTTCTTTGAAGACCTTACATCTAAACACAGTCATGTTTACAGATCCTGAGGGTGGGGCCATCAATAGAGTTTTTGAGAGGATGAGGGCAAGGCACAGAACTCAACCTATAATAAGTAATGGAGAATAGCAGATAATTAAACAAAAACCCCTAAACATCTAATTTTCTGACATCAGTACAAATATAATGTGGGGCAACACAGTAAAAGTTACATTACTTGGACATTCAAGTCAACAAAGTTTTCACACTCTTGAATGCATACCATTCGGAATGGCTGATAACTTTCCCAGTGTGTCGTTCAAAGCTTTCAGAAGATCCCCGTTTCTAATTTCTGCATTTCCTAACCTGTTTGACAAGTCATTCAAATCATCTTCACTTTCTGAAAAGAGATAAAAAGAAGATAAAACAGTATATTGAATTTAGTCATCTCTGAGCACATAGCTATACACACAATTTTAGGTTAATTTCATGTAAAGTTAATAAGAAAGTAAAAAATGAATTTGATTTATTTACATTTATCCATAAATGGGTTTCATATCATAATATAAAATATGTTCATATGGTCATTTTCTATTTAAACAGGTACCATGAAAGTGTTTTCTTCTTGGTAACTGATCTTTAACTGACTTAATTTGGTTGTATTCTGTAAAAAACCAAAAAGTTAGCAAGAAACAAATTTCTCTTGCATTTGCAATGATTCTATCTAGACAGTACTTCCATTAGTTTCATTTACCTTTTTTTTTTAAATGCCAAAATAGGTGACTTGATTATTTCTAAAAAAAATCTCAATTTGATATGATTATGTAGTAGAACTTCAGCAAAAACAGTTTATAAAAATGTGTTTGAAATCCGGGCTTCTAACTTTTTGAAAATGTTTCCATCATGAACAATGGAGATGCAGCACCTTGTTACATAGCAAACAAATAACTTGTCAGTTATATTTTGATCAGCACAGAAAACAAGCACTGGCCACCAGCTCAGAGATGGTTCCCTCCGCACAGTGCCACGATGCCACTTTGCTGCTCTGCTTAAAGACGACAGTTGAAGCACAGATACACATTCATCATGGGCTGGCTAGCCACAATCTTTGGCAGGCCACTATTGCCTGTTTCCATGTGGATCAAAGTTCAATTTGCAAGGGATTTGGTTTCCATGCAACTTATACTGCCCTGTTTCCATAGACCGTGGCTGAACTACTTCTAACTGTCTCTGAATCCTCTTCAGAATATATAAATTTCAAGGAAATGGAAAACAACTGTTAGCGCTTTTCTGAAAAGAAACAAGCAAGCAAACAAACACACTGGCAATCCTTCCTTTATGGAGAAATAAATCATCTTTCAAAAGTCTTGATATTATTTTTCTATACTTTAAAAACACTTTCTTAGCATAAATTTTTCAATATTCAAAGATATCACTAACTACAATTTAAAAATTTTCCAACTTCTGAATTTCACTTTTAAAAAAAATTATAATTTAGGGGAAAAGAAATATCCTATCTGCTGATAAAAGATTGTATGTTTATCATTTATTAGATATGCATCAAACCAGCAACTGCATTTTTCAATTCAAGTAGAGTTTGTCTATCTTCTTTTTCTAACATCATTTATTATTGATCAGTAGAATTGAGAAAAAGAAAAGATATTAAATTATGTTCTTGCTATAACCATTTTTAACTTGTCCTCACGGGAAAAAGAAAGCTATTTCTTTAGTATAATCTAAAGAGTTATTATTAGCACTGGGAAAAATATGCTGTCAGGAACTGCTCTAGTGTACTGAGAAACAAAAATGTCAGTCTAGAGACTAAGATGCGCCTGATCCAGGACATGGTCTTTGCAATTAATTTTTTTGTATCAGAGAGCTGGCCAATGACTAAAGATGACAGAAAAATTTAAGTTGTGGTGCTGGAGAAGAGTCTTGAACATAGCATAGGCCACCAAGAAAACAAGTAAGTCTGTCTTGGAGAGGGGGAAACCAAGTTCCTCCTTGGGGGCTAGCATTCTAAAGCTTCGTCTCACAAGTTTTGGGCATGTGGCCAGAAAGACCAGTCCTTGGAGAAGGACATCATGCTTGGAAGGTGGAGGGAAGACCCTGGATGAGACAGACTGACACAGTAACTGGGGCAGTGGTGATAGGTATGGTGGAATCAGTGAGACTCACTCAGGACAGGTAAGGCTGCAGATCCCTATTAGTTGCAGGTGATTTGATGGTCCACCACCACAACAACAACCACCAAGAGTTATTATGCCATTTTTTTGCCCTGAGGTATGGATGATATTGTTTTCATTAGCTCCACAGAAGTGCATAATATAAATAAACGCAAAGTGTCCAAGCCAAAAGCAGAATTGGGCAAGAGCTGTGAGGAGACAGTGTCCTAGATCCTTCTGGTCTTGACTGGCCAATATCTTGTGATAACACAACCAGCAGTTACTGCCTGTGTTCTATGTGTCAAATTTAGGTTCTGTCTGTTTAGATGGACTATTTTACTTAGTCTTCCCCATAGCATTCATGATGCATGTACTATTAAACCCCACTGTTATTGAGTCAGTGAGGGTTCATAGCAACCCTATGTGCGTTAGGGTAGAACTGTATTCTATAAGGTTTTCAGTGGTAGGACAATGGTTAAGAGCTTGCTAGCAACAAAAATGTCGATAGTTTGAACTCAACAGTCAGTCCAAGGCAGAAGACTTGGTGGCCTGATTCTGTGAAGATTACAGTATAGGAAACTCTACAGAGAAATTCTGTTAAGCCGTATAGAATCATTATGAGTTGTAATCTACTCAAAACTATTGTAACAATCTTACAGAAGTAGGTCACCAGTTTGCTACTGGATGGATTCAAGTGTCCCACATTTGGTTAGTAGCCAAGTGCAAACCATTTGTGCTACCCAAGGACATTACATGTATGGTTGCTATCTCTAATTTAAAAATGAGTTGAGACTTGGAGAATTTAAGCCAGTTTTCCAAGGTTATATGGTGATAAATATCAAAGCATGTATTAAAATTATTCTACTCTAGAACTTGTGCTTGATTATACCATGTGCTGGTTGAAGTATTTGTGCTGTACATATATTACTGCTATTAAACACAGTTGAAAAGCATATGCAAATGACTGAAACTGGAGATGGCTGATACTTGTAATCACCTGCTTGGCACTTTGTGTAAACAGAAAGAGGTCTCAGTCCTTAGTGCTCATTGATTAACGGAAAGGTGGGTAGTTTGAACTCATCAACTTCTCTTCAGGAAAGAGATGGGACATGTGGTTTCCAGAAAGCTTACCCTCTTGGAAACCCTTTAGGGCAGTTCTATTCTGTTCTGCAGGGTCACTATGAGCTAAAATCCAATATATGGTAATAAGTTTTTTGTTTGTTCCCTGGAGTAAGCAGACCAGAATATACTGCTTATAGAATAGAGTGTCTCCTTATTTACTTGCCTTGATTTGACTGGGTGTCCACCCTTTTTATAGGAATGCAGCTCCCTTATTAGAATAGCTGTGCAGGCTGCTTGCAGCTGCTGAATAATCCTTGCCTTATTAGCCTCACAAGAGAAAAATAGGGACGGAAGAGGTAAAGAGGAAGATAAATTGAGGATTCTCAACTAACATCGCTCTTTTATGAAAAAACTTACTGGACATATTTATTAAAGATCCACTTCATTTCAAACAAAAGGTATGATTATAAGCAGACTGATATAACCACCATAATAGTACAGAAAAATAGAAACATAGCACATAGTATTGTGTAATATATCTGTTTTTAAGTTCCAAGTCAAAACCCAAAATCACTCAAAAACAGTATGAAGTATTCCAGTAAAGCATGACTCAAAAAACATAAATATGTCCATTTTCGTCACTAATATAGTACTATTTTCATTCTAGTCCTTTGAGATATTCTTTCCAAGTAATCAGATTTTCTCCTCTGTCAATCACAATTCTCCTTTCTCTTAATACTTCTATTATTTTCACTGTTTGTACTAAAATACAATCTTTAGGTAGTTTTCTGCAAATATATTTTTTAAAATAAATCATTACTGTGATAAGCTTACGAATTCTTGAGAAACAGAGTAGGGGGATGGTCTTTTGATATTAACTTGGAAACAGTCATCAATTAAAGAAAAGGAAATGGACAAATTTCATAAATTAGCTCCTTGAGTGAGAGTAATTTTTTAAATAATGGTGCATTCAAAATGTTCTAGCAAGCAAGATAATTCATGTATAGTGAACGAAAAGCCATTAATTTAAAGGGCATCAGTAGATTTGTCCTGTTTCATGCATTCTGATGGCAAATACTGGCTGAACAACCAGCCCAGTTATTCAGAAGAAATACTGGCCTGAAGAACATTTTTACTGCTGTGTCTCAAGCTCCAAAGCAGTAATTTTGATCCTCTGGGCTTGTACTAGAATGCCAAATGCTTGTATTCTGACCTCATTCCTATTTCTGCATTTCAGACACTAGACTCTAATTTCATCTTAATTTATCCTTACACGTTCATCACTATTTTTCTAAAGTAGTTTCTGGAACATCTCAAGCCCAATCTAAATGTGGATAGCTTGGCAATTGAAATAGATGAGTAGAAGTTCTGTACAGAGAATTTCAGATTTTAAGTAAAAAGAAAAAAAAAAATCCCACCCCTAGAGATGAAACAGCAACGAAAATTGAGAGAAAAAACCACTCCAAGCCTGTTTTAAGAGCCCGTTTTAAGAATCCGAATTGACACACCTGACTTTCCAGCGAGTAATCAGAGACAATAAATTGCCAAGGGAGGAGATCGTCTATCCTTCTCTAGTGAAGCAAACAGCTGATGGATTTGAATCACAAGCCTTTGGAATTGCGATTCAGCTTCTTACCACTAGGCTACCAGAGTTCCCTTATACGGTCATGTTGTTACATGCCTTCAAGTCAAGTATAACTCATTGCAACATTATAAACAATAGATCTGAACCCTGCTCTATCCTGTATCACCTTCACAATACCTGACACACTCGAGCTCACTACTGCAGTCACCATGTCAATCCACCAGGTCGAGGGTTTTCTTTTCTTTTGTAGTCCCTCCATCTTCCCAAGCATGATGTCCATCTCCAAGGAATAGCCTCTTACGATCACATTGCTTCTCAAAAATCAGGAGATATATGTCATTGGACAAATCTGCATTCAGAGACCTCTCCAAATTACTGAAGAGCACTGATGTTAATTTGAGGACTAAAAATGTGCCTGATTCAGGCCATAGGGTGTTCAGTCACTTGCTATGTTGCTGAGAGCTTGACAATGAATTAAGGATGAGAGATAATGAATGCCTTTGAACTATGGTATTAGAGTGGCATCCACTTCCATAATAGCTTGCCTCTGGAAACCCTATGAACCTGGAGAGAGGATGAAAGGCACCC